GACTGGCCCCAAACTCCCAGAAATCCACTTGGTTTTATGTCATAGTCCAAAGTGTTTGGGTTAAAGGCATATGCCGTCATGCCTGACCCACGGAGCTGGGATTTTTGTAAAAGGAGGCCATACTATACCTTTGGCCCCTTCTGTATGATACAGGCTCCTTTCCTGTCTCTTTACTGCCTGTTACAGCTCAGGGCCTCCCGAGGACGCAGGTGCCAGATCCTTTGGACTTTCCACCCTTCGGAATTGTGAACAACATAAACATGTATTTTTATCCATTGCCCAGGATCATGGGCTTTGTTCTAGCAACACAAACAGGCTAAAGATTCCTGAAGTCTGCCTGTAGCACGTGATCCCTGTGCTCCCACAAGCCTCAGTCCTGGTGCTCTGTGCGCCTTGATGTTAACCCCGCCGTGGAGGAAAATAACATACAACACTGGCTCACGAACTCACTGGGGCTGTTTTCCTAACTGTTCGAAAGCAGTGGCAGGGACTCTCTATCCACTCCTTACTACAGTTATAGCGCATTGCTCAAAGCTTCGTGTCTTAGAATAATAAAAAAAAAATATAGTCTTATAGGTCTGGGGGATTTTATGAAGCTAAGTGGAAAGTATTGTCTGTGCTGTGTTCCTTTGGGAGGCTTTTCTCTTCAAATTGTTTTTAAGTTTACGCAGAGGTCAGAGCGTATCTTGACTTCTTCTGCCACATGGGTCCCAGGGATTACACTCAGATAGTCAAGCTTGACAGCAAGTATCTTAAACCACTGCTGTGTTCCTGCCTCAGCCTTCTGGAGACTGCTCGTACTCCCTGGACATCCTGCCAGCCTCACATGGCTCTGTTCTGTACTTCCACTACCGTGTCTTCTCTGTGGTCTTCCTGCTTCCCTCTTACAAAGCAGACGTGATCAGAACCCATGCGATCCACGATAATCTCCCCACTAAGTCTTCACCTTAACCATTGCTGTGTAAGGCAATGTGTTCACAGTCCCGGGACTAGAAGGTGAACGTTGTGCGTCCTGATGTTCTTCTAGGTGTCTCTTAGTCGCTGGTGTTGCCTTATTGAAGTCACTACGTCAGAAAGATCTTCTAAGACCGCTTTAGGACTCCTATCCAGTTTGGTAATTTTGACTACATTGCTTGATTTTTTTTATTAACTCTTAAAAGAGTGGATTAATCATTTTCTAAACATTTAAAAAATCTAATTAACGACTCACTTTCTGTCTCCCTCTAGTAGGGAGGTAGAACAGAATGTGGTCAGTCTGACTTCTTCCCAGCACGAGGGGCACCATCAGAGAAGCTTGTTCAGGTGATCATTCTGCATATAGTCTATGAAAAACAACTTATCTTAGAGTTGTACTAAGTAAAACACACTTAACAAACTGAACCTTAGTTAAAATAAACTTTCCTTGTATATTGGCTTTGCATTTAAGTGTCTCCTTGGAACCCAACTGAGATCTGTAAAATTAAAAAGGCGGAAGTAAAAAGGAACTGCAGGAAAAAAATATGTAAAAATCAGACTGAATTATTCTGTGCAAAATGAATGGTACCGGGGGACATAGTGTTCACTGAGGTAAACCAGACAGAGAGACAAGTACTTTCTACTGTGTTTCTCACATATGGCAGTTTAAAATGTTAGAGGAGGGGGAGGAAGGGAAAGAAGAGGAGGAAGAAGGGTAATTCTTAGAGGCTAGCAGAGGGGTGAAAGGAGGTAGTGGGAGTCGGATAACAGGCACAAAGCACGTGACAGAGGGATGAGCTCCAGTATCCTGTCGCTCTGTAGATGATGGCGCTCACAGTGAGCCCTTATGCATTTCATGAAAAAGTGTAAGAGAAGGGGCTGGAGAGATGGCTCAGTGGTTAGGAGCACTGCCTGCTCTTCCAAAGGTCCTGAGTTCAATTCCCGACAACCACATGGTGGCTCACAACCATCTGTAATGAGGTCTGGTGCCCTCTTCTAGCCTGCAGACATTCACACAGAATATTGTATACATAATAAATAAATAAATATTTAAAAAAAAAGTGTAAGAGAAGAGCTGAGAGGCTCCGAAGTTTAAGAAATGCTAAGGAAATGGGAATGCTAATTACCCTGGTAAGATTTTATAAACGTTTTGAAATATTACTTTATACCTCATACAGATAAACAGTTATGGCATGTTAATTAAAAAGGAAAAAATATTAGAAATAATGCAGACAGTGTATACTTTGCTAAAAATAATGGTAGCATTCCCTTGGTCTGAGCCATCGTCCCAATGTGGCCTGTTCACCACAGACTTACTGTGTAATCCCAGGAGACAGGGATAAAAGTTGGTATAGTCACACAAGGGCCTGGGAAGATGGAGGGGGAAAAGGTTCATTCTAATTGAGACATCAGTTCTGGTAAGTAGAGCTTTCTGATGCTGTTTCCAAAACATAGTCTTAACTTAAGGAAACCCGAAGCGCTTTTAGTCAGGAAGAACACTCTTGGCTTGGCATTAAGAGCGAGCAGGCCTAACGGGAAGACTGCATGTCGTAAGCAGGTAATTGGTAGTTGTATCGCTGTTCACTTATGCACCTAGGTGATTAATGAAACAGCCTCCAGGACCCACTCAGGAAACACTGAGTTCCTGACGTAGTCTCCGCCATCACCCTCGCTTCAGTGAGGAAGGGGAGGTGGGAGTCTTGGCAGAGGAGTGCTGGGGACCAAATCGTGTTCCCTGACAATTCATGTGTCGGAGCTGTCACCCCCAGAGTAGCTGTACATAAAGACAGGACTTCAAAAGAGGAGGTTATCAGGCCGGGCGTCTTTAATCCAAGAGGACTCATATCCTCAGAAGGGGAAGTGACCGAGAGTACACAGAGCGTGTGAGGGCATGGTGAGACCACAGGGAGGCCTTGCGAGAAACCTAGTCTGCCAACCCTTGTCTGTGGACGGACATCTGCCCTCCGGGATTGTGAATACAAAGATCTCTGCTCTTTAAACCACCCCACCTGAGCGCTTCTCTTAGGGCCTCTGTGGCAGATTCAAGGAGGGCTGCAGACCTCCTTGAAATGCAGATGGGGTTGATTTCAGGAAACTGCCCAGGTCAAGAGTGGTTCGGAAAGCTTCCAGCAGGGGTAGTGAATAAAAGATACACATGATGTGAGTCAAAGAGCAGATGAAAGAAGCTGGCGTGGAAAAGATGCAGAGAGGGGCTCGTGGCGAGAGTCCTATGCCTGGGCGCTGGGGGGGGACTGGGGGCCGAGAGCACTTTGCCTGGGTACTGAGAGGCAGCGGAGGAGCATCTTGAAATGCGGGGGCAGGATGGAGATCTTTGGTCAAGTAGAAAATATGCAGCTTACACGGGGTTTTCAGCAAGGGTCTTGGGAGGTCAGGGGATTGTGGTGTGTGGTAGCGGTAGAGCTGAGAGTAAGGTGCAATTCTAAGGACCCTGGGAAAAAACAGAGGAAACCAGGGCTTGGTGGGAGTTGGAGTTATTGGAGAAGAGTGAGGGGAGTTAGGTTTGTCCGAGTGAAGGGGCTGAAGTACCCTGTGAGCATCTTGTCTTCCGCTTAGAGGAGGGCTGGTGGGCCCCGACGAAATCCTGTCCAATAGGAGACTCATCCTGTTGCTTTTGTTCATTGGGCCCTCTCTCTTCACCTAGTCCTGAGTGTACTGAGTGTGAAGTCAAGACATTTTCAAAATATATAGGTTGGTTGAATCCAGCAGTTTTTATAATCCAATGTGTTTTAGCCGCAATTGTTTTTCCATTAGCAATCAGAAGATCTAAAGAGAGCACAACAACTTACAGAATCTCTGTATTTTCCATCTTTATGTGACTTACATTTTTTATTACTCTATTCCTTTTTAAGGACCTTATTATTTTAAAACTATATCTTCAATCTAAAACCGCATATACTCTTTCTCTTCTCTCTCTCTCAAGCCTATATATAGTTTTAAACATACTGTGACTGGTTCAGAGGTTTGGGTTTTTTTTTTTGTTTTTTGTTTTTTTTTTGTTTTTTTTTTTTCCTGAATCTGTCTTTATTGAGTATCTGTAATTAATCTCTTTCGGACCACATGAGCCTGTAAACTGCTAAGCGACATGGCCAGGATTGTCACCTCTGTTTTGGAGCTTGCCCCCCCCCCCCCCAGTGGCTGCCAGGAGATGCTTTTCTGTACTGCGGCTGGCAGGAACCCACCACATAGCATAGCTCATCATACACTGGCTGCTCAGGTCTACAGGCAGCAACCAGGGGATGCATCCCAGTATTGTGGCCAGCGTCAGAGGCATGAGACTAAGAAATGGCTCTTGACTCCATTTCTGTGTGTCTAGAACCCTTTCCCAAGCTCTCCCAGGTTTTATGTGGTTGTAGTTGCTGAACGTTTGGGTGCCATTTGTAGGCAGAGTTTCTCTGTGTCTTGGCAACCATTCCCGAATAACCAGACTTAATATTAAGTATAAATGCTTTGACAATAGCTTAGGCTTATTACTAAGTAGCTCTTACATTTAAATTGACCCATATTATCTAAGTTCTACCACTTGGCTCATGGCTTGTTACCTCATTTTGTACATTTTGTACATGGCTTTGTTACCTCATTGTGTCTGGCTGGTGACTCCTCTTACTCTGCTTTTTTTCTTCCTGAGTCCTCTGTCCCTCCCATACTTCCTGTCTAACTACCGACCATCTTTGTATTAAACCAATCAGAGTGATGAATCGTTACAGTGTACAGAGGATTATTCCACAGCAATTAGGGAGTAAGTTTACGAAGTAAAGTCGGATATGCATTGTTTCAGGATGAGGCAAAGCAGAAAAGTAGGGCCCTTGTCTCCGTGACTGGATGGTAATTAACTTGATTGGGGGGTGACTGCTTGGTTTCCGGGAAGGCACACAGTTTTGTTTTGCTGTGCTGTCATTTATCCCCCTTGTTGAATTGCTTTCTCATTTGTGATACGATGAGCCTTTCAGGATGACCGTAAGAAATACTCACATAAGAAATCACCACCGCTGACTATAAATGTGCTGTCTACCTTTTTGATATTGCAGTTGACTCATGTGGACAAGGCGAGCTTCCAGGTGGATGCCTTTGGAACATCGTTCATTCTTGATGTCCGGCTAAACCAGTAAGTGCTTGCCAAGTTGTCTTCACTGTAATTATGCTATCTAGTGACTTCAAGGTGTTAATGTTGGTAATAAGAAGAAATAAATGTGCATTAGAAATTGAATTGCTTTAGTAGGTATATAACTTTTACTAATATATAATAGAAGATAGGAGGTCTTCCAGCATTTTGCCTAAGAATCTGTAGACTTGCGTTGCCTATGAATGCTAGATTATGAAGATATACTTAAGGCAGTAAAAGTCCTTTCTCTTTCTGTGTGTGTGTGTGTGTGTGTGTGTGTGTACATGCTCATGTGTTCATGGTGGGCAGCTGGGTGTGCAGCTGGGTGTGCAGCCTTAGAGGTTCTGAGGGTTGGGATCTGTGTGTGCACACATGTATGCACTACCCCCCAGGTGCCTGCTGTAGTGCTCGTATGGAGGCCAGAGGACAACTAGTGGAGGCTGGTTCTCCCTATGTGGGTCCCATCAATCCACATCAGATCCTCAGCTCGCTGGCAGGCACCTTTGCCTGGTGAGCTATTGGTCCAGGCCGGGCCCAACTTCCTCATGTTCTTCAAAGAATTCTGGTGCAAAACCTTTCATTTTCTGAGGAAGAAACTCATATGGCCATAAATCAGAACATGAATAATGTGGTTATAATACTGAGAGAAAAGTAGGTTTTTTAAAAAAAAGATATTGGCATGAAAATGTTAGACATTTTCTTTTTGACCTGAGATCTTTACTAAATGTTGGTGGTGGGTAAGCTATTTTCTTTAATTTTTTTTCTTGAATTTCACTCATGTGTACAATGAAATAGGATCATAGTAATTTGTTTTTCCACACTTATTTCCTCTATATTCTTCATTGCACCTCAACACATTCTTTTTCCCAACTTTTTTATCCACAAAATCCGGCTAATACTATCTGTATATGAATGGGTATGGGGCCATCCACGGGAACCTAGGAACCCTTCCAGTGGCCACATCTCAAAACAGACTGTCCCTGCCTCCGCTACTATTACCAATAACTGTTTAGTAACTACCTACAGTGCCTATGCTGGAATGTTGACTGCTTGGTCTTATGCTGGTAACTACAGCTGCTGTGAGCTCGTGGGTGAAATAATTCTGCCAGGTCACATCTTGGTCACTGTTCTGTTGTTGTGAAGAGCCGCCATGACCAAAGCAGCTCTTACAAAAGGAAGCATTGGATTTGGGGCTGACTGTGGTTCCAGATGTTGAGCTCATTATTGTCATGGTGAGGAGCATGGCATTAGGCAAGCATACTTGATGCTGGAGAGGCAGCTGAGATTTCTACATCCGAATCTGCAGGCAGCAAGCAGAGAGGATGCCTGGTCTGCTGTGAGCTTTCTGAGACCCCCAAGCCCACCTCTAGTGACGCATTTCCTTCAACAGCGTCACAACCTTCTAATCCTTCTCAAATAGTGCCACTCCCTGGTGGCTAAGCATTCTAATGTGTGAGCCTAGTATGCGCGGGGGGGGGGGGCCCATTCTTATTCAAGATGCCACAGTCTAGAGGACATCACTTCCCAGCATTCTTCCCCATCTTCCAGCTCTTACTTGTTTCTACCCCATCTTCCAAGATGTTCCCTGAGTGCATGTGTATGGAGGGGTCGGGGATAGTAATGTAGATATCCTGTTTAGGGCTGGTCACTCAGTCCCACGGTCTCAGCACTGACCGGGCATGCATCTTTCTGTTGACCGCTGACCACTGAAAAAGAAACTTCTATGACCAAAGTTAAGAGCAGCCAGAGTTTTAACACAAGTATTTAGAAAGCATTAATTAACATTCTTTGGGTTTATGCCCAAGAGTGTCATTGCCGGGTCTTGAGGTAGGTTGATTCCCAATTTTCTGAGAAACCATCATACTAATTTCCAAAGTGGCTGTATAAGTTTAACTCTTTTTTTTTTTAAAAAAAAAAACTTGTATTTTGAAACTAGCTTACTAACTAGTAGGTTTCCATGGGATTTTTCATATATCCTTAGTTTTGCTTAATCCATGCCACAGGCCTCATCCTTATATAAAATTCATTAACTCCCAAGACGGTCTACCCACCAGTCATTATTCACTTTACATGTGTTCTTCTATCCCTCTAATTATTATCTTTTAACTGAATTGTGAGATAGTGAATTTCTGTATAGTTTTTAATCTACCCCTCTGATACGGGATTTCCCTCTGTACACTGTGATTACCATTAATGTATAAAGAAGCTGCTTTTGACCTGTAGCAGGACAGAGCTTAGGTAGGTGGGGAAGACAGAACTGAATGCTGGGAGGAAGAAGGGTGGAGTCAGGGAGAAGCCTTGTAGCCATCACTGGAGACAGATGTGCTGAAACTTTGCTGGTAGGCCACAACCTCGTGGTGATGCACAGATTACTAGAAATGGGCTAAATTAAGATGTAGGAGTTAGCCAATAAGAAGCTAGAGCTAATGGGCCAAGCAGTGTTTTAATTAATATAGTTTCTGTGTGATTATTTTGGTTCTGGGTGGCCGGGATGAACAAGTGGCCTCCTCCTCCATCCCTCCTTTGGGTTACCTCTCCCTCAACTCCTGGTTTCCCCTTTACTCCCACTCCCTCTCTTCCTGCCCTGAGTATTCAACTTCCCTAGTTTAGTTTCACTTGTAATCTCCCATCTCCTGACTCGTAAGCACCCTCTCAAAGACCTCTGTCTCGTTTTCTGGCTTCCAGTTGTGCTCCAAGTTAAACACACAAAAGAGAGTAGGATATATCAGACTCTGGGCAGCCAACCTCCAGACAGCACAGGGCTCGAAAGAAATCCACCGCATCAGTGATACTAGACTTTTCTATCTGAGGGGTTAGGGAAAAGGACACCCACACTCTATCAATGGTTTCCTTCTCTGGTCTCTATTCTTCTCTGTATCCTCCATTCTTTCTACTGTATACTGTATATCTTCTACAGCTTATATACCCCCAGCAAGTTTTTCAGGCAGCATAGGAGTTACAATGTTGTTACATTCTGTATGCAAGTGAGAAGCAGCATGTTTTCCATGTCCCTTATATGATGAAACATTTTACATACTACACATGAAAAACAAATTATTCCAAGAACCCATGTACATTTATACCCAAGCCACTTGTCCTAGATTAATCGTGTGGGCAAACAAGGTATTCTCCATCAGTTCTCTTACTGGCAGGCTGTACTCTCCAGTTACAAAGAAAGGACCAATTACTTTATTACTTATATTGAAAGGTAATCTTATAACGAAACTTAAATGAATCACAAACTTAAACTTTCATATATTAAAAAGAATCAGTCAGCTCTGCTTCAAATCTTTAGGGTTCCTATCCATTCATCAACAGTTTACTTTTTTTTTTAATACCAGGAGATTGAGGGCAGAGATGGGTATAAGGAATTAATCATCACCTTTGATCATCAGCCCACCCTAGCACGGAAAGCACATCAACTAGTAACAATTGGACTGCTTTGTATGTTTGACCTCACCTATGTTTCCTTGTGAACTTTAGATTGCTTTCTGGGATTTTTCATCTCAAAGCTATTATTAAAACATCTGGTCTAACCTGAAGTTATTTTAAAGCTTTGTTCCAGCTAATGATGCACACCAAAACCTGTGACTGTGTCTTTCAGCCTTCAGAGAATTAGAACCAGCCTGACTCCTGGGACTCAATGTTTTCTTAGTCATTAACTTGAGCGATAGTCCATGCCGCTCCTTAGGTGACACTCATAGGCCCTGGCCATGTTACATTTCCTTATATTTATTTTTTTTCACCAAAGCTCTGTATAAGCTAGCATTATTATCAATTAGACAGTACAGCTTAGGGAAGAGTCATCTTCTTGATGATCTATGGATAAAAATGCTCAGTAGATCAGGATGTTTCCAATAAGATAAACACACTACATTACAGGCAGTGAGGGTCTCCCCACAGCCACATCCACCATGCAAGATACCAGAGAAAGATGATAGCACAAACATGTAAAGCCACAGCAGAAACAAAAGACGTTCTGGGGTCTATAGCCTTACCTAACTGAGGCTGACCCATCAGAGAAATTCCTCCTGGTGGGATAACACCTTGAACTTCAATTGCCCCTTGCTGCTCCTCTGCCATGACCATCAGCTAGGATCTGCATATGATTTATCCTACTGGGCCCGAGTTACCTTATTCAGTACATTTTTTTTCTTGTTCCATCTATTTATGCAAATTTTATGATTTATTTTTTTTTTACAACCTAGTAATCTTATGTATGTGTGCAATATTTTTTCTTGCCTATTCATCTCTTGGTAGTCATCGAGGTTGGTTTTATTCTCCAGTTAGTGTGAATAGAGCAACAGTAGACATGAATGTGCACATGTGTCTGTAGTAGGGTGTAAAGTTTGTTAGTAACTATTTTCTTTATGCTAAAAACCACAGTAATGTGATAGTTTTTTTCTATATCATTTTTATGTAGATTTTTTTTTCTTGTGCTATTTAATGCTTTTGGTTTGATTTACCTTTATGGCTCTATTGGTTTAGGAAGAAGGAAGGTGGAAATTGAATATGCTTTTAAAAACTTTGGAGTGCTCTCTCATGAAGCAATTCTAGGCCTGTGGAACAAGTCAAAAAAAATTTTTTTAACTAGGGGAAAATTAAGTCTGTATGTAGCTGGTTAGCTCCAATGCTACTTATTTTAAGATGGGAATTGAAGGAAATGAATTATTACATAACATTCCTTCAAAACAGTCAGCAAGCCAGATTTTCTATAACCAGATTATACAAGAGTTCATTCACCCTTTGGGTTGTAGTTCTGTAGAAGTGGCTTAAAAATACAGAAAGGCTAAAAGCAAGAAGTTCAGCCAGTTCCTGCTTTGTCAGTTATTAAGTGTGGGAGGTAGTTTCTTTCATGGGTCACGGCTATGAAATTTCACTCTTAGGACAGATACATTAATAACACCAAGTATATAATTTTTCTCTGCTCGTGTTGGTTCTGAGGCTACACGGGACCTTCCAAGGTCAGCGAAGGGTGCTGTATTTTACTGTGAAGCGTTCCT